TTTTTTTTTCTATTTTTTTTTTTAAATTTCAGATTGATATGAGGATAGGTATGTTTAGGTTACATTGTTTTCATTTCTAAGGTAGTATTCAAGCTGTAGTTGAGCCTTTCACCCAGAGGCATGCTGAACCCCCTCACATTATGCACATGAGGTGAGACCTTGCTGATCACCCTCCCTCCTTCCCTGTTCCCTCTACCCCGTCCCTTCCCAACTGTGCTTGACTGTACTGGTGTTTTTCTTTCAAGTGGGCCTGTAGTTGTTTATATATTGGTTTCATCGAGTACATTGGATACTCTTTTCCTTATTCTTGTTATACTTTACTAGGAAGAAGGTGTTTCAGCTCCATCTAGGTAAACATAAAAGATGTAAAGTCTCTTATCTTTTCTTAAATGGCTAAATGGCAAAATGGCATTCCATAGTATACATATGCCACAGTTTTTAAATCTCTTCATGAATTGATGGGCACTTGGGTTGATTTCATATCATGGCAATAATTACCCTTATTTAAATTTTTAAATGTTTCTTCTTTATTAAAGAGGCTTCTGTTATTTTTCTTTTTTTATACTGAAAAATAAAGTTTATTCATTTAAAAAAATAGAAGTTAATAAAAAACTGGGTAATTAAAAATTTTTACTTTTCTATAAAAATATTTGTAGTATTAATCTAATGCTTTTAGGGGAGTTAGTGGTGGGTATGGCCTTGTGTTGTTTAACTGGAGAATTCTGATTTAATTGTAGTGTCTTCAAGAGATTTTTATATGACTCATCTGAGCTGAAATTTCTGTTTTGGTGGCAGCAGTGGCTTGCAGTCATGGTGTTGGTCTAGATGTATGATCATGGAGTAAGATTCTGTCATTGTATTCTGAGATTCTTTTATTATTTTATTAGTGTAATGACAACCAAAATTTTTCTTTTTAAATAAAATAGACATAAAATTGAAAATGAAAGATCAGAGTTTCTCAGTACTTGATTAATCTTTGGTCTGCTTTTTCCTCTTCCCTTTATTTCTTGGTTTCTAGTGTGATAGTTACCTCGGTTTGTGTTACAGAAGATGGGCTTGAGTTCCCCCTGTAATTCCTAGTTGTCATGTGGTGGTGTCATTGGAACCTGCTTCTCTTTACTGGATCTTGCTGACAAACTGCTTTTCATGTTGTAAATTTTGCAGATTAGTAAAATCAGACACAGATTTTCCATGAGGGTAATGAATCTAAACCTCTGGGACTCTTAAATGAGTTCACGTTAGAACTTTCAAAGTCTTAGTTAAGACATAAGGCAGTGCTGTATTTTCTTTTCTGGTGAAAGAAATGGTCTAGACAGTTATACTAACCAGTAGAACTATGTATCTAATATTAGATGCATAATGAATGATTTTGAAAGCATTTAGAATGGATACTGGGATGGCGCCATGGCTCAGTGAGCAGGGCGCCGGCCCCATATACCCAGGGTGGCGGGTTCAAACCCAGCCCTGGCCAAACTGCAACAAAAAATAGCTGGGTGTTGTGGCAGGCGCCTGTGGTCCCAGCTACTCAGGAGGCTGAGGCAAGAGAATCGCCTAAGCCCAGAGGTTGCTGTGAGCTGTGACTCCACGAAACTCCCAAGGGCGACAAAGTGAGACTCTGTCTTAAAAAAAAAAAATGGAATAGATACTGTAGTCTTTGAGTTAGTTCTGTTATGTAAATATCAGACTTTTGCCAAAGTTCTCTTAGAAAATAAAGGTATCAATCACGGGACAGTTTTTATGTCATGTAGTCATCTTCTCCTTCATGTGTGTGTTTTTTTGTATTTCTTTCAGCTGTGGTAATGGTATATGTCTCCTTCAAGATGGAAGTTTCACTTTCTTCCCATTAGCCACTCTTGTATAATATTTACCATAAGAAAATCCTCTGAAATGATGAGCATGCCAGTGCATTATATATATAATATACAGCCTAAGTGGTAGTTTAGACGTATAAAAAAGACCATGCAAGCTGAAACCACGCGGCAGGACCTGACCTGCAAAAAAATTATGGTTGTTTTGTCACCTTTAAAATCGTCAAAACTTTGAAAACTCTTATTGCTGGTTAGATATGCAGGGAGATTAAAATGATAGTAAATTAATGTTTAGTACACTGTGATGTAGAACATTAGAAATATTGAGAATTTTTTCTCTTTGTGAGAAACTTACTGCAAGTCCTTGGAACCATACTTGCCTTCTCCCTTCTTATAATAGAACTTAGGATATGAAGAGGGCATCTTTTATCTGTCTTAGCAAATTGTCATATTCTGTCTAAGTTTGAATCGAGTTCAGAATTTAATCCTGTCACTTTCATTACTGTGAACTGTCCAGTAGAACTCCTTTAATGCAAAGTACATTTACTGGTGATGCTTCCTCTGGGAAACCTTGGTCCTTTCTGCCACAGCCACTCTCCTGATTTATGAGTTCACCTTTTCTAAGACCCTGTCGCTGCAAGTCTAGAGTCTTTCAAATGACACCAGTGTCCACGTTTTTATGACCATCTGTTGCTTCCATAACTTCATTTATGTTCAATTTGAATTTCCCTTCCAGCATCATTATTTTTTTATATCTTTGGTAGATACTTTAATCTTTGTTGGGTAGTATCTGTTTTTCATGGTCCACTTTTATTAAATGTCACGTGGGTTTATCACTGAGAGATGAGGCGGCAACGTGACTACATGCTTTGCTGTCTGTGCGTGGACTGAACTAATAGCTATTACAGTCACCAGCACTGATAGGCTTTGCAAGACGTGGTTGGTTACTGGTCGTGGTGTGAATCTATTATTTATTAGTCGGTCACTGGTCATGGTACAAATTTATTGTTTATTATTGATTTGTAGACTTCACAGCTAGCAGAAAAGTTTGTAATTGTACAGTTAGTCACAGTTAACAGACTGCGGTAACTGTAATTTGAACTGTGTTGTTATAAAACTGTTATCATGTAACTAAACCATGGTAATTGAAATCTGTGCTTATCACTAAGTAAGGCAAGAATTGCTTTTCTCTTTTCTTTCTCTCTGACTTCTAGCTTATTTACATAGATGTTTAATAATCATGATTACAACGTGGTTTGGGAGCAGGGTGAACAAACTTCTTCTTTTCTGCTGTGTGTTGGAAGAATAGGGCTTGTCTTGGGCCACACATTAAATACACAGGCACTAATGAGAAAGCTGATGAGGTCTGTGTGTACTAGATACTGTTAGTGGTATCTGACACCACAGATAAGGAAAACAGTCCTCTAATATTAATCTGCATGCAGCCTGTGGGCTGCAGGTTGGACACTTCTGGTAAAGCCTGGCTCTGTAATCGCAGCCACTTGGGAGACTGAGGCAGGAGGACTCCTTGAGCCCAGCAGGTCAGACTTGCAGTAAGCTATCTATGTGCCATTGCACTCCAGCCTTGGTGACAAAGTGAGGCCCCATCTCTAAAACCAAATTAATCCCTTCCCACCCTCTCAGAAAACATAGATTTAATTCATCATATAGGAGCAACATTGTATTTCATAACTGTATTTGACTACTTAATCAAAGACAAACATGATTTCTATGTAGCATTTTGAAGGGCAACTGAAATGGATTGTTTTTCTTTTTTCCCCTCCAGTTTTATGTACGGTGAATTGACTGACAAGAAGACCATTGAGAAAGTGAGGCAAACTTTTGACAACTACGACTCAAATTGCTTTGAAGTTCTTCTATACAAGAAAAACAGTAGGTATCAAAATTCCCAATGCCATATGCCCACTCTTTATTAATGCTGTGTTTCAGTAAGTGGCCACTGAACTAAACTGTAGCGAGAGAGTAAAATTTATATTGTTCTTCTCTTGGCAGGGGCAGAGGTAACTGGTGAAGTTAGATAACAAGATCGATAATTGATTCTACTTATGAGAAGCAACCTTTTGAGGAATGGGAGAAAAATTTTAAATGTGACCTTTTTGTATGATAAAGATTCCATAGGTACATGACAACAGCTAAAAGTGCCAGAGGGGCGGCACCTGTAGCTCAGTGGTGAGGGTGCTGGCCACATACAATGGGGCTGGTGGGGTAGAACCCAGCCCGGGCCTGCCAAACAGCAATGATAACTACAACAAAATAATAGCTGGGTGTTGTGGCAGGTGCCTGTAGCCCCAGCTACTTGGGAGGCTGAGGCAAGAGAATCACTTGAGGTGAAGAGTTTGAGGTTGCTGTGAGCTGTGACACTGTGGCACTCTATCCAGGGCAGCATAGTGAGAGTCTGTCTCAAAATAAATAAATAAATAAATAAATAAAAATAAAAAGAGAAATTCATTAACCACTTGTAGTTAAAGGAAAAGGTAATTGGCAACGCGGGGTGTGTGCAGTTACCTTTGAACACAAACAGGTCACGTGTGACGCGGGATACTTGCTTGCTACTGAGGCGCATCCTTTGCCAGACTCAGACTGTTTAGTGTGGAAGGCATCGGAAGTAGTGACTACTTTCAGAACAGGTTATTCACGTTGGGAACATTTGTAGTGATTGTTGTGAGCTGTTCTCTGGAATGAGATTTGTGCATGTTAAAATGTTCCTTATACAATCCCACAATGGAGGCAAACGGTATATTTAGCAGCCGTGTCTCCTTTCTAATCCACTTTCTTGGCATGGTTAATTTTCTCTCTTTTTGCTACTTTCCCAGATTCTTCTTTCTTTCCTTTTGGAAATGAGCAGTCACTTCATAAGATGGGTCAATTTATTTAGTGTTAATGGTAAATGATAGCAAAGTCCTTTGTCATCTTCAGTGGAAATTGATGGTTACCAAATTCTTCCTAAGTTTGGGAAATATTAACATCATCAGGACATTTTTTCACGATTAGTGGCCTGTTGGATTGTGGAGCGTGAAGTCTCATCTCCATTATCTATGGAGTATTTGGAATTAAAATAAGATTTTTATTTTTGTTATAATAGATTTTTGTTATGACTAACAAAGACATCTGACAATTAACTTATTTTTTTTCTGAGGTAGAGTCTTACTTTGTTGTCCTTGGAAAAGTACTGTGGCGTCACAGCTCACAGCAGCCTCAAACTTTTGGGCTCAAGTGATTCTCTTGCCTCAGCCTCCCAAGTACAGGCGCCGGCCACAATGCCCAGCTAATTTTAGAGATGAGGTCTCGCTCTAGCTCAAGCCGGTCTCAAACCTGTGAGCTCAAGCAGTCCATCCTCCTCAGCTTCCCAGAGTGCTAGGATCACAGGTGTGAGCCACTGCGCCTGGCTGCGAACATTTGTCTTTAGTTGTTTTACCTGAGGAAGGTCTTACCTTCTTATCTTTCCTTTTAGAATCAAAGCCAAAGAGATATTTCTGTTTGAAGTCACAGCTAAATGTCATTTGACTCATTACCTTGAAAGCAAACCTTTCCAAATGATTGTATCTGTCCTCTACGGGAGAAAAGCCATGGATATTTTCTGGGTCTTTTTTTTTTACCAGTCCCAAATACATATTGATAATTAATAAGACCCATATGCCAGTAAGTCTTCAATTTTCAAATAGGTTTGCTACACGTATTCCTTGAATGACTTACCCATGTGCCATTAGTTTAGCAAATAACATCATAATATTTCATATTCCATTACTGAGGTGATTCACTCTGACATTTAAGCAGAATAAACAAATCTTTGCCTGATTTTAAATCAACAAAGGTAAGTCCATAGTTGCTGAGTTTCTCAAAAATACCTTAGTGGAGTTTGTGTTTTCTTTATATCATGTTTCAAATCATGTTAATAATTACTTGAATTTTACATTTCCAAAAGCCTCCTTTCAGGGTGGTTTATATATTTTATATGCCTTATAAAACTGTAAATTAAAAGTCTCCTTTCTGTGTATTATCCCCATTGGATTTTGTTTTGTTTTTTACTTTAATTATAAGGACAAGTATTACCTATGTATTGTAAAAGAATTCTACCATTTAAAAGCAACTTTAAAACAATCTGGTAAATGGTTGGCTGAAAGCTTTGAACATCAATTAAAACATTATATTTTTATGACTTTTAAAAAATGTTCAATAGAAAAATTCACATGTCCATAGCAAACAATTTTGGGAATGCCTGAATGCCAAGTCCTCCTGGTGCTTCCGTTAAGTAATTAGGTTAAACACCATTTTGCAGATGGGGAGATTGAGGCGTCCAATTTAGTATGTGTCACAATTAAAACATTTCAGTTTGGGGCCTCTGTTCTTTAAGCCCAGTGCTCTGAGCAGCTTGGGGCTGTTTTTACTGTGGGGAAAGAAATAATAGCTCTGGGACAATGATTTTAAAATGGCTCTTTCTGAGTACACAGAGGGACAACTTGACCGTGAGCTGCTCCCAGTAATCAATGCTGGGCCCTGCTCTGAGTTCCCAGCTGGGACAGTCCTCCCCATCTACCCCTCCCAGGCTCTCTGGCCCCCTGAACCCCATATCTAGACAACAAAGGCTGTTTCACCAGATACTTGGCAGATACTCAGCCTGCTTGGGGAAGTCTGACCACTGTGGCTGGAAAAGTTGAAAAAAATCTACCTTGATCTCTACAGCAGTTTACAGACAGCTCTGACTCCTGCCAGAATGTGAAGAGCTGCTGTTTCATGGGAAGGCCTGACATGTAACATCATCTCTTTCTGTTGAGATTTCCATCAGAGTTGGGAAAATGACTTATTTTTAATGCCCTTTTCTCTTTGTTTATGACCCCTTTGCCTCAAGCTCAGTATGTGGGAACAGCCATAGCCTCTGTGTGCATGAAGGTCTGGGCCTGGCGATTGGTAAAACTGTGCACATCACTCACAGTTCCCAGACACGCTGTGTAAAATAAGAAAACAGAAACCAAAGAACAAGCTTCTCTGGGAGAGGATGTGATTGTTTTTGAAATCCCTGTCTCATCCTACAATCATTTTGGAAAGGGCTATGTCCTTCCATAGACTCCCTGGGATTGTCAGAATTAAGTATTTCCTTAGAAATCTGTGCTCTCTGACTTTTTGAGCCTGGTAGTTAAGTCATTTCATGTTGTGTGAATGTTGCATTCCCCTTTATGGTGTCATTAGGTGAAGGTTTTTCTTGGCCACAGGTATGGAGATGCTTTTTATGTGGTTTTCACTGGCAGACTAGTAACAGCTCTACATTTGTCTCCTCAAATTATAAATGTACAACACTTTTATGATGAAGGTAGAATGTTTGGAGGGGCTTTCCTGCACTGCGGCTGGGAGGTAATATGATGGAAAATCTGTCTTTGGATTTTAATGGAACATCCCTTCTGAGTTTATCACCTGGTGGATAGTTGCTCCTCAGTGGTGTTTCTTGTGCCTTCACAACTGCATTTATTAGTTTGCAAGTACCAGTCTTTGATTTGCCCCCGGAGCCTACAGTAGCCTGCGTGTGAGTCCAGCTTCGTTTTGGGTGAGAGAGGCAGGATGCAGTGGCTCATGAAGATACCTGAGACTCTCACGGGTGGAGGGCATGTCTTCTTCTTTTTTAAGGTCGCCCTAAAAGTTTCAGGTAGGGCATCAAGTCTTGCTGTTCCCCTCTGATGCGGGGATGCAGTTGGAGCGACAGAGAGCTATCATGTACATCTGTGTGACCAATGACAAAGCCTTGGAATGGAAACAGCCCTGTGAATGCTCCTTCAGGAGGGCAACTTATCAGAATATCAGGCATTGCTGTTGCAGTTAATTGGAGACACTTGTTAAAGTGACAAGAGGAGAGAAGCACGCAGGAATGATCACACTTGTTGAGACTATCAGAAGGAAGCTGGTGGGAGTGGCAGTGGTTTAGGGACCCAGAACTGTAAGTGACGCTGGCATTCCCTAAGTGCCACGCCCACCTTTCTGTGTTCCTGCGTCATGAAGTGACACCCTGTGCTTTACTTAAGAATGTCTATATTTGGGGTTGAAAACTATGCTTATTAAATTTGAGCACCTGGTAGTTGATACAAAATAAAGGTTTTAAAATTCTTCATAGCAATTGAAATATTGTTTTGGTGCTGACTCCTGACATAGCAGTTGGCAGGTGGAGGGCAAGGGAAGGCAGGAGGCCAAACTGTGGCTGTGGCTTTGACACTCTTTTTCTCTGTTACAGGAACCCCTGTTTGGTTTTACATGCAAATTGCACCAATAAGGAATGAACATGAAAAGGTGGTCTTGTTCTTGTGCACTTTCAAGGATATTACCTTGTTCAAACAGCCAATAGAGGATGATTCAACAAAAGGTAATTTGCCAAAGAATGATTGCATTTCAGAATTAGGCTGTAACTAAAACACTTTCTTATTATTTTAGCAAACTCTGTGGTTAAACTAAGAAAACAGGATTCTCCTCTGTGGCACTTCTTTTGCTTCATATTCTTACTGGCACTTGTTCAGAATCATTTTTATTCAGCCATATCATTTGAGCAGAAATAGCAGGTCTGTCCAAAGTGGAAATAATGAGTGGTTAAATTCAATTATAATTGGAGGGATTGAAATAAGACGTAAGGAAAAATTTTTATAGATTATTGCTAATTTAGAGTCAATGAAATCAAAATTTCAATGTCCTATTTAATGGTGAGCTTTAGACCAGAAGAATGTAAACTTGTGGGATGCTTGGGAGTCAGACTGAAGCTCAGTTGACTCATTTGATTAAAGTTTTATTAGTTGATCTTTTCAGGTTACTTTCCAGCTTTTATTTATTCAGTTGTATATTTTCCTGGGTGAATGTTGCTGGGCTATGTAAAGAATAATTTTGTCATTAAGAGAGTGGCTGGCAAACCTCTTGAGTAGAGTCTTAGTACAGTGAGGCTGCTGGAGGAATCGATTGTCAGTTGCAAGTGTCTTTGTTTCCTTTTTTTTTTTTTTTTACAGTTTTTGGTCAGGGCCAGGTTTGAACCCACCACCTCCGGTATATAGGGCTAGCACCCTACTCCTTTGAGCCACAGGGCCCTCCCCCTTTGCATCTTTTTTAATTGTTGTATTTTATTCCTAATTTATTTTCCCCAAGTATGTCTAAATTAGAAATTGGTGTCATATGAGCAAATAATTTTAAATACCTTTAATTTTTTGAGTGACTTTTTATTAAGTCTTAACTGTGTAAAATTATGGGGTACAATGTGATGATTTGGTATACAGTGTGAAATACTTAAATCAGACTGATTAACATAACCACTTATTTGTTGTGGTCAAACATATTATACTCTTAGTAGTTTTGAAATGTACATTGCATTATGCACAACGGTGAGGACCCACCAAATACCCTCCCCCTTTTCACCCTCCCTGTCAGCCCTCTCCCCCCTCCCTTCCTCCTTTCTGGACTATAGTTGTGTTTTATGATTCATATGGATGTGTAGGTGATGATATGTTGGTTTCATAATAGCATTGAGTACATTGGATACTTTTCCCCTGTTCTTGAGATACTTTACTAAAAAGAATGTGTTTTGGTTCCAAACAGGTAAATGTAAAAGCTGTAAAGTCTCCATCCTTTTTTATGGCCACATAGTATTCCATAGTATACATATATCACAATTTGTTAATCCAGTCATGGTTTGATGGGCATTTGGGCTGCTTCCATGACTTGGCAGTTATTAATTGGGCAGTAATAAACAGTCTGGTGCAAATGTCTTTGTTGTAAAATGATTTTTGATCATCTGGGTGGATACCTAGTAGAGAAATTACAGGATTGAACAGTAGGCCAACTTTCAGTTCCTTGAGATTTTCTCCAAATTTCTTTCCAAAAAGGCTGTATTACTTTGCGATCCCACCAGCAGTGTAAAAGTGTTCCCTTCTCTCCACATCCACACCAACATCAGTAGTTTTGGGATTTTGTGATGTTGGCTAATCTTACTGGAGTTAGGTGATATCTCAAAGTGGTTTTGATTTGCATTTATCCAATGATTAAAGATGATGAGCATTTTTTCATGTGTTTGTTAGCCTTTTGTCTGTCATCGTCAGAGAAGTTTCTGCTCAAATCTCTTGCCCACAAGGAGATGGGGTTGTTTGTTCCTTTCTTGTTGATTAATTTGAGTTCTCTGTGGATTCTAATTATCAGACCTTTGTCGGAAATATAACCTGCAAAAATCTTCTCCCATTCTGAAGCATGTTTGGTTTACTTACTGTGCTCTTGGCTGTGCAGAAGATTTTTAGCTTGATCAGTAAAATGGAGGAAAAGATGGAAATGGAAATTCAAAGAGGAGTTCTAAAGTTGTCTCAAGAAATTAATGAATTCAAAGACAAAGTCACCAAGGACATGGACATAATGAGAAAAGATATAGTAGAGCAGAGCACAAGGAAATGAAAAAGTTATTCCAGAAGCTTCAAAGTACAGTAGAATCCCTGAGTAATAGAGTTGAACAACAACAACAAAAATAATAGAGTTGAACAGGCAGAAGAAAGGATCTCAGCAATTGAAGACAAGGCTTTTGAACAATTCCAAGAATTCAGAACAGTCCTTGAGAGAGCTGAGGGTTCATTCCAAAAAATCAAACATTTGACTTACAGGAATTCATGAAGGAGAAGAGGATGGTTCTAAAGGCACAGATGCTCTACTCCAAGGTATTTTGGAGGAGAATTTCCAAATGTTGCAAGAGATACAGAATTTCAGGTAGTTGATAGTTTCAGAATCCCAGCAAGAATCATTCTAAATAAAGCATCTTCTGGACACATTGTAATCAACTTTGCCAAAGTCAATATGAAGGAGAAAATCCTGCAAGCAGCCAGACGTAAGAAATCATAACCTACAAAGGGAGAACTATTAGAGTGACTGGAGATCATTCAGCTGAAACTTTTCAAGCCAGAAGACTATGGTCCTAAACCCTCAATCTTATAAAATAAAACAATTTTCAGCCCAGGATCCTGTACCCAGCTAAACTGAGTTTCATTAGTGATGGAGAAATCAAATACTTCACTGATATACACATGTTAAGGAGTTTGTCATAACTGTGAATACTCAGACTCATTTTCCATAATGAGCAGCACAGTATTCTACCACCAAAGTAAACTCACAGAGACATTATTGAACAAACCTAACTTCCACAATGGTGAAAGTGATACCGGACAGGTGGCGCCCCAGCCAGCTCAGCAGCGGGGCTGGAGGACCTGCCCCCTCCATCTTTGTGGTGTTGGGGCAGGTGGCAGAGGAACCAGCAGGCTGGAGTGTTGTTGGAAGGAGGGACCAGACATGATTGGGGAAGACACTGGCACCTCCTCTTTTTCCAGTGCATCCCTGATTGGTCCATTTTCAAAACTTGCTCCTGATTGGTCTGTTTTCAGGACCCGAAAGCTCATTGGACAACTGTCCCTATATAAGCCCCTGAGCAGAGAGCCCACCTGCAGATCATGGCAGACCTCCAAGGGAGAGAGCGCAGAAGAGCAAGAGCTATGACACGTGTATCCTGCTCTGCAATGAGGTTTGGCTCTTTGTAAGAACTGTAACACGTGTATCCTGCTCTGCAAGGAGGTTTGGCTCTTTGTAAGAGCTGTGACACTTGCATAAAACCTATCTTACTGCTGATCTAGCTCTGTGAGGTTTGGCTCTTTGCGAGAGCTGTAACACTTGTTAAATAAAACCTAACCTACTGTTGATCCTGTGGTCCGTTGATTTATTCATCAAATCGTTGAGACCAAGAGCCTGGAAATCCAGTATCAAAAGTCCAGTATCAAAAGGATTAAAAATATCCACTAGACCTTTGGAAAACATCATACCCCAAACACTACCAGGCCTATCAGTTCTCGCAATTAATGTGAAGGGCTTAAATTGTCATCTAAAGAGGCACAGGTTGGCTGACTAGATACAGAAACTCAGACCTGTTATCTGCTGCATACAAGAGATTCATCTTACCTTAAAGGATGAAAAAAGACTCAGAGTGAAGGGATGGACATCTGTGATACAGGAAATGGAAATCAGAAATAAGTAGGGGTTGCCATTTTATTTGCAGATACAATAGGTTTTAAACCCACAGAGGTAAGGAAAGACAAGGATGGACACTGCATATTTGTCAAGGGAAACATTCAACATGAAGAGATTTCGATAATTAACCTTTTTGCTCCCTAGTAAATATCCTTAATTTTAGTGAAATGTTATTTTTAATCTCTTAGGAAACTAAAAATGAAATGTCTTCCTTTTTGCATTTCACAAACATTACCTTATTTCTTTTTACAAAACTGATGTAGACACTTTAATCTTTTCAACTATAATTGGGATCATAGAAAATCACATTTGGTTTATCCCTTGCATATGAATTCATACACAGTAGAACCTCGATAGTTGACCACCTCCCTACGCTGACTACCTTGTTAAGTTGATGGAATTTTCTTAGACTGGACATGCACCATGTGTACATATCGGTACAGGAGGCCTAGTTCCAACAACCTCTGTATGTTGACCAGTTTATTACAGTCCCCGAAGTGGTCAGTTTACACAGTTCTACTGTATATACTATTGCATCTGCTCAGCTGCTGGGTAACACCAAGTTGGAAGAGAAGAAATTTTACAATGTGCAAATCACTTAAAGTATAACATAGGACAATTCATTTTTGCCTGCAGGGCTGAGTATTTGATTTTAGACCCATCTTACCTATTCCTTTGCCTTTACATATAGACCCAGGGACTGGGAAATTTAAAGTAAGTATAAATACTATTAAAAAAAATAGAATAGTCTTTTTAATTGCATTTTGGTTTAATGCTCATTTGTTTGTTTTAAAATCCATAGTCTCTATTCAACAGCTAAAGAATGCACATTGTTTTCATCTTCACATGAGAGTAGAATATCCATATTATAGACCACATTCTGGGTCATAGAATATACTTTAAAAAATTTTAGAAGATCTTATAAAGTATGTTCTCAGGCCACAGTGGAATTAAACTAGAACTCAGTAGCAGAAAGATATCTTGAAAATCCCCAAATAATTTAAAATTAAACATTTTAAAAATACCTCATGGTTCGAAGTTGAAGCCTTAAGATAAGTCAGAAAAATATTCTAAACTAAATAAAAATTAAATACAATTTGTAGAATTTGTGGGATGCAGGAAAAGCAGTGCTTAGGGGAAACATGTAACATTAAACGCATATGTTAGAAAGGAAAAAAGATGTAAAATCAATAACCAAGATTCCACCTTAGGAAACTAGACAAAGAACAGTAATTTAAACCCAAACAAACTGAAGACCAGAAGTAATAAACCTCAGAGCAGAAATCAGTGAAATAGAAAATAGGAGAACATCAGAGAAAATCACCAAACCCAAAG